GTGTGGTGCTCGCTTAGCGCCCCCCTCTCATATACCCCTACCCCAGGCGCATGCCTATGACAATGCTGAGTGGTGTAGCCAGAGAGCGACAACCCCTCCCCACCACCGAATTTTTTCCCCAATGGCATAGAACATAAAATGCAGTTCACCACATCTCCTGCCCGGCCCTCACTTCAGAGACATGCACCAGGCCCCCTAAAAAAGTTTTGCCAATGCCTCGGGCACACGCCGAAGGGACTAGCCCAATTAAATGAAAGCTTCGCTTTAAAGACGGGTCAGCAAGTTGATCGTGTACGTCATGGCAACAAAACAATGTCATGACAGCGAACGTCATTCGTGATGTGTGCTTAAAACTAAAGCGTCTAAACATGTATGAATGAACTAATTATCTGCCAGCTTCTTAGTGGTGTACAAGAGAAAATTATATTACGGTTCACAATTAGCCTGAAAGCTTCAGGGCTCTTTTCTGTCTTGGTGACTTGTTTAGTGCAGCTAGATTACTTCTTTTTGCAGGACTGGTGGTTATGAAAGAAGGTAATAATAAAAATTCATCTTGTTCATCGGTATATAATCATCATCATGGCTTGCGTCTTCTTCGTTCGATGCGTTTATCAGGTGGTTCTGCCTAATGAACGTCTTCGCGATACCAGCGCTGCTAGTGCCTTGCAGTGCACTTACATACTGCTTAATGGGCACCGGCATCTGTAATCACTGAAAAAGTTTCCTAAGCATATGCCTTTTGTGCTTGTAGCCTGAACAATGCCAGTAGAGTTTTGTTGCTGCATTATCAAAGAAAAATCAGCTGTTTTAAATAAACCTCAAAATGCGCTCTGTAGATGTTCTTGTTGCTTTCACAACACTTATACTTATACTTATAGAAAAGTTCCAGATGCCCAGGTGAATGCTCAGTACTAATGAAGCGACATAAATTTGCTCTATATATGAAAAACCTATTATTTCCTGCGCTTTGCTTTTCTTTCACATCTTCTAAGACAAATTAGTTTTTTCTGTTCTGTTACTTGGAAAGAAAGAAAGATAACTGTAAAAGGATCGAAATTTGAATGTCCCATTTTTTTTACCAGAATTTTTATTCTTTATTTTAGGTTACATTCTTTCTTCCATCTGTGCAGTTTACATTAGGTGGTGTTAAACGGTGACTGTGTTCTGTTTTTTTTCAGTTACACACTGTTTCGTGACATATCATTTCAAAATTACACTGATGTAGTGACGCAATAATCTTTCTAAGTGAATTGGCCTGTATAATTTCCCAGGTTTTTTATGCGTAGACTTCAAATAGGTATGTGACCATTTTCTAAGCGGCAGGTATGTACACGTACATGTTTCATGCTCACAGGCAGCTTTGCTACTACATTCATGCCCAGACATGGTGGCTGTTAGCACGAGTAAGTGAAGCATATTCTGAGGTGTACTAATCAATAGCAACAACACGGACAAAGAATGACATGGGTGAGCAGGAACTTCTATCTAAACAAGCTCTATTCCCCCCCAAAAAAACTGAAATATACAGAAAGAGCACAAATACCACCGAGTCATTGGATAGAAAAACAAGGACCCTCTGTTTATTTGCACACACCCATACAGATTTGTAAACTGAAGAAAAATTGGTAGTTGTGCAAGTTGGTGCACAATTTCAAAGAAGCAAACAGTTGAGGATTTTTCCTTCACTGCCTCTAGTTGTGGGACCTAATTCATACACAGCCAAGAACAGGCATACACATTCTGACCTTGGTTATCTGGATGGAACAAAACATCTGCACACTTATGACAAGAACAAAATGGCAGACTTGACCATCTGCAACAACATGATACACAGAAGCTTTAAGTTAAGGCAAGTGGGAGGAGGTAACATGCTGAACCTTCACTATGGGTAAGATGCAGTTGAGGGCACTGGAATTGTTTCAATTCACTGGTGACTGTTTATGTGCACCCACAGCAGAACTTAGAAAGAATTTGCTAATTTGCCTTAATTGAATAAGGCTGCTGATTTTGAAAGCTTGATAACTACTTTGTTGTTGTATTTAGTTCGTATTAGAACTCTCAAATCACATTAATGGACTAGCTGAGCATATCTGATTAGTTATGTACAAGAAAAGGGTGCCATATGTAGGTAGGAATGTAGAGTATTCAGATGTGGCCGATCCCGACAAATCTGTGAAAGCTAGATATGACCTATCTTAATTTATTGAATCAGTTTCACAAAGAAAGAAATGTGTTAGGCAAGAGACAGAGAAGGCAGGTGATTTAAAGAAAAACCATGCAAAGGTTGGTTGCATCCTGCAAAATTCTTCATTTTTAGATAATTATCAAGCATCGTTGGAATCTACCATTTTTGAAAATCTGAAAGGAGAATTAGTTTGGCTTGGATGACTTTTTGTGCATTCTCTTCAGTGTTGAGACAGGAGGCTTTTTCTTGTAGTACGTTTCATACAATCTCTCATCAATTACCTTACGGTGCATTTGACCCAAACTCTTCGTTTTTATGATTGGACTCAGCATGTCGTGGTCTTCTCTTGGGCTCGGCATATGATTTGCTTATTGATCAAGGTTAAACGTTGTGTTTTGAGTCTTCATTTTTTTCCCTCGCATTGAATGATTTCGGTTGTAGTAGCAATGGTGATGTCGCATCATTCTGATGCAGCAGTTAAGGATAGCACTGAATTTCAAAATGCAATGAGCGCTGGTTCAATTGAATTGACCCTTCAGTGACATTGGGGCAATTAGGCATAATCTCTTGAATACGAGGTTATTTTTAAATGTGAGCTCATCTCTCTTTGTTAAGTACTATACGCACACATCTTGAAGTTGTTGGAACTTATCTGCAGGTTGTAGGGATTTTTTGTTTTTCGCAGTGAGTAAGCACTGTCAGTCGAAGACCATGGTACTCGGTTGTATATTTGTCGTGTGTTGACATGTATAGTTCAGATGGCATCAATAAATGTTCTAGGCGGCACTTGTAATACTTGTTTTCCATTCACTTTCAGAAGTATGTGGATTTAGCTTAGTTTGCTGCTTGAAGTGCAAAAAATATTCCCCCCTCATTATTCAACACCAGGCTAGCAACCACCTACTTTCCTCGAATGTCTAGTTATTGCGCATAAATAAAGGGTGTTTCATATCAGATCATATTTTTAGTTCTATGTAACTCAATTAGAATTTCTTTTCGCCTTTTTGGAAGTGAAAGCTTCTGAGTAATAGTGTGTACAGTGAAATGTAACGTTGTGTTAAGCTGTGAGATGTGAGCAATTGTCCTTGGCTTTACATTTATTGAATAAGATTAATGTTTGCATTTTACGTGAAGAAGATAGCAGTAGAAATACAGGACTTTCTATCAGAAACATCATTATGCCTATAGCACCTAGGCCTTAATTAAATAGATTACCTTGTTCAATTTCTCTAAAGGGTTCTGTTGCTGAGTTGAGTCCTGACTGCATATATTCATTTGCCTTCTTTCACAGCCATCTCAGCTAGATATTTTTGTGTATGTACTGCTGTTAGCAATATCTAGTTAGGACTTATCGTATTTTACAGAATAATTGATTCTTGATGTTGTAACAAGGACATCCTTAGCAGAATGCCTACTTTCATTTCAATTAGCTGCACTTTCACATATTGTACAATGTTCAAGGCAGCACTATTCACTGTACTCCAATTACATTTATTTATTTATGCATTTATTCATACTATCAAAGCCCATAAGGTATTACATAATTACATAGGGTAGTGTTTGAAAAACAACTTAAGGTCCTAATGAAAAAGGGAAAAAAACTGTGATATGAAAAATGAAAAAAAAAATGAAAAAGTGAAAAATGAAAAAAAATGAAATGAAAAATGAAAAAATGAAAAAGAAAGAAAAAAACTGTGATATGCGCTAAGTATTCAAAAATGCACTAAGAAGAATGAAAATGGAGAAAAACAAGGCTCCTCGAGATCACAGTGAAAAATCGAAACTGAAACAGAAACTTGTTTGGTTTGTTTTGGTGGCGACATCTTGTGGGGTTCTGTGGAGCTCATTCACGGGCTAAAAAAAAAAAAAGGCTCCGCGCGCGGTATTGAACCGGCGAGAGATCGCTGACGTTGCGCACCGCAACTATGCGGTTAACGCACTCGGCCATGAATGCCACCGAGCCGCTGGCGATAAGCAAGAGTTTATCAATATACCGCAAGCATTTGAAGGACTTCACGCAAAAAAAAAAAACGCGTTAGGGAACTACGTTGTGCGAATTGCGGCACGTTGAGCGTAGCTTCAATCGAAAGCAGAGTGTCAGGACTACATACGGTGCACTGACCATCATTAGAACCTGCTTAGTTTTACTGCAGTGAACGTTTTTGTCTCGAAAAACAGACCGCTTTTTTTGCCGTCTCCATAGACTCTAATTGTATATTCTTTAACTGCTCTGGGAACAAAATTGAAGCTTACCCCAACATGATCATTGCAGTGTTCTCATCCGCTTAGGTGCCCAGACGGGCTCGGTTGTCTGCGTTTTTACACATTCACCCTCTAAAATTTATTATTCACGCAAAACTCACTGATTCTATTGAAAAGGCGCAAGCTTCGAGCCGGAACCGCTAGGGTCGCTGGCTGTTATGCGTCCAGAATAGCTGGATATGATTTCCCACAGCAAAATTTTTACGCTTTATGCTTTACTCACCACCGGTCCACTAAGCACAATCCCTTTAGTGATACATGTTTCAAGCAGTGGTGTTCCTAACAGATGACTCTACCTCATAGATGCACGTCTGTCTCTCTCTGGTTTCAGATAAAAAAACTTGAGCGCATTGGTAAATTTCAACGGAGATTCTGACTCCACTTCCAAGCCAAACCCAGACAGCAACGGCGAACCTTCAAATCATAATGTGCATATTATTGACCGGTGTCGACTCACCCAATTTTGAGACGCATACTCGTTTTGACATGACACACCGACCCGACAAACCGACACCCTTGGTGCTTCGTCGCTAAAATAAACGTATGACACTGATTTAATTAACAAGTGAAAATTTATTGAAAAAAAAACAGCGTGGGTACTGCGCGATGTGGCTGGTTGGTTGTTCAGGTTATACTGGCGCAACCCACCTCGGAAGATCGGTCATTGATCAGGTGATATGTTGCATTGTAACACAAGCAACACAGTGCACTTTGATTGCTTAGATTGCTTTCTCCTTACATGTTTCGGTAAAGCATGGCCAATAATGTTACTGCACGATTCTTATGCAGTATCCTCTTTCAGAGTTTTCAGAGGCTGTTCTGCACAAATAAATATTAAATACTGTGTTTCTTCTATGAAGGTTATCATTCATAGCAATATACTCCTTAGGCCATAACTCTCGGCACTTGTTTCAATACAAGCTCAGATGACAGTCATGCTGACTAGACTCCCTTCAGCGTCATCAAGGGAACGGCTAGGCAATCATTTCAATTTTTTCAGGCAGATCTAAAACGCTGAGGTTCATCATAAAATTTCAGCCTTGCACATACATACATCAGCTATAGCAGGACATGCTGGGTGTCGAGATTCTGATTATGCCCCTGTGGTACGATCATCACGTCCTTCTCTCAAAATCTTCTCGCCTTTCGCAAATGCGCGTATGCTGAAAACATGGAAATAACTTTCTCGAGAACTACATAAACCTCGAACACTATTCGCACCATTTAACCTCCAAATGGAACGTGTGACACGACAGTTCGAAAGCTGGCCGAAGGCCGTATTCAAAGGAAGATTGCACCGGGACTAGGATCACACAGTCATATATCCCATTAGGTGAGTTCTCTCACGCCACCAGCGTAGCTCGTTCATGCCCGCTTATTAACCGACATCGATGATATAGGGCAGCTCGTGCTCTTCTACTCCTCTGTTGGTGATGAGCTTCCTCTTGGAGTCCTTCTTGGGCAGCGAGTATAACAGCTTGTCCCAGAAGTTCGGCTCGCCCCAGCCTACGTAGTTCGAGGCTCGCACGTACGCTTGGAGGTCTTCGTCCAACGAATCGACGGGAACCTCGTCGACGAGCACGATCACCAACCGATTTGTGTGATCACTCAGGGCACGTTGGTACGCCAACCGAAGCTCCCAGCGACACCACTCACTATCCACGAAGTTTCTGCGTACATACATATACACTTTTTATCAATAGTGTTTCAATAATTCATTCAGACACTATATAGAAAAGTCGGCTTATATACACGCCACAAGTAAGTGTGAAAACATCACAATGGTGACAGTGATACTCGATGGACATATACACAAAAACAGAGTACCAAGCAGGCTCTCATGTCGTGTGAGCTTTACTCATTGAAGCTGGCTATAACAAACCGTTGTAGACCATGTGGATATGTGTCCACTCTCAAGGTAACTACTGTAAAAGAAAGTTTATCAATGTGCCTGCGGTATCGCTAAGCGTTTTACATAAGTTCAAGGAAGAAATATGATTCAGACCTCAGGTATAATCTGATATATGAATAATGCGACACCTGCCGGCCAAGACGCGACTCATGTAGTTGTTGTGTCTTACATCGCACAGAGATCTGCTGGCTTATCATCACGCAGGTATGCTTCTATATGTTGGAAAATAAATTTGGTTTCCCGATCAGTGCTTATCTAAGTTTCTTCTGCTACCTGCCTTCTAACTTTGTCGCATTAGCTAAGTTATTCCTGGATGAACATCCGTTAACTAACCGAACCCGCTACTCTGCCCGTCTCTCTTGTGAGGGTGTGTGGCCTAACTAGATAAGGTGCACTCTAAAACAGGTGGTAAGTTTATTTAATTTATAATTTTCAGTTTCCTATCTGAAAAAAGCCATGAAAGAAAAGCGCCTAAACCAACGCGATTTTCTTGGAAGTCGCAATTCGACACTTCGTGACAAGAGCCCAAGGCATGAACGAACTGGAGCTTAGGGAAGCAGAGATACTTGCAGACGACGAGCTCCTACGACACCTGTTCAATTTTGCGGCTAACACTGAGCATATAGGGCGTGTTTTCTGTCGCACGCACCCCGTGAGCAGCAGCAGTGTTCGCCTGGAGCATGCCACGGCGTCTCGGATGATGTCCTGCAGCAGGAAGCCGCCCTTGAAGTTTCGCTCGTAGGTGCACACCGAGAAGCCGAGCGCCTCGACGCCGGGCAGCAGCTGCGCGTGCACCCAGTCGGCGTCCCTGCTGCTGAACGAGAGGAACACGTCGAACAGCTTCTCTTCGTCCAGCTCGTCCTCCTTGATGCACTGCAGCGAGCGGCACACACCGCGCGCGTACAGCCATACCTTCAGCTCACGCTTGTAGCGCAGGTAGGCCGCCCACAGCGACAGCCCGACCACCAGCGACACTGTGAGCAGGGGCGAGAAGACGGAGCCGACAGTCAGCGTCGTTACGCGTGTTAAATATTTTTCAAACTTTATTTCATCGATGGTTAAAGTGAAAGCGAACTAATTTATCGTTAATCGAAACTTGCGACCGATGACTCTGCGGGAGGCTTCTGTCCTTAAGAATTTGCGGATGTAATTAAGAACGCCATGTTCGACGAGAAACCGGAGATATTAAAAAAAAGTGCGCTAACCACACTAGTCCAGTGAACACAACTTGTGTTAACTGGACTAGTGATGTGACGTATATTGATATTAGAAACATTTAGTTCTCGCACATTGTTAATTGCAGCGCTGACTCTATTAAGGTGCGAAGCCCGTCGGGGGCTTGGCTCATCGGAGTCATCTGTCATGCTGTGTCATGTATTCACCGTCCATCATAGAAACCGGTATTCACCACAATGAGTAAATCCCAGAGCTCGCCACCGGTCCACTGAACATGAAGGAGCCAACAGCTATTTATATAGCCCAATAAATGGCCGACGACGTTATAGTGGCGCAATAACATGCTTCCTTACATGCCGTAACTGAAACTTGACAGGTAAAGATGCACCAACTTAGGTATCGTGACCCTAGGGTAAGTTGGTGGCGATACTGGTTAGAAGAAGGCGCCTAATTTCTGCAGAATTAGTATGAAAGTTAAATGTTCATACAAACATATGTCGCAAGAATGCGGAATTTTGGCAGTAGACATTACATTACCCAACTGCAGTCATTTCACCCTAGTAAATATGTATTTTCCAGATGGAGTTCAAGACACACAAAGTTTGGATCTAGCTACAAGGTTTTGGTGCAAGCACAGAGTTTTAGTTGGAGACTTTCATTTCCACCACACGAGTTGGGGTTTTAGAACTGATCTGAGTGGAAAACGCTTGTGGGAGTGGACAATAGCAAATGACCTGACGTTCCTCAACGTCAGACACCCCACATTTATTCGTAATCACTGTAGGTCAGCCATAGATTTAAGTTTTGCCAGTTCGGCTCTTACTAGTTCTTCTTGGAAAGCGATAGACTGTGGCACCAACAGTGACCACTCACCGATAAGTTTTGAAATTTTTTGCCCGACAATTCCACCATGTTCAAATGTACGAGTATTTGTAAATTACAATAAATTTAAGAATGATCTGAAGTCAGCGTTTGCTTTTCACTCGGAAGAAAGCGATGACACAAAAGCACTGAAGATAAATGCCGTCATTAAAAGAGTCTACAAAAGAGCGGAATTTACTGTCAAATCCACAAAAAGGTCATAAAGAGCATATAACCGTTGGTAAAATGATGAATGTACAAGAAAGCGCCGACGACGTCAGGCAGCTTGGAAGCAGCTCTTACATAATCAGTCCCCTTAAAGGTGGGCAGATTATTAATTCATTGCAGCGGGCTTTAAGAGAACGGTAGCTCAAGCTAAACAAGAGTATGACAGAACACATTATGAATACCTGTTGAAGCCTAAACATATCAAAGCACTGTTCTGATATATAAGAGCTCGGAAAATCTTGTGATAATCTGTACGCGCAAGGAATGACCACAACCTTAGAAGCAATTCGTAAAGGTCTGGAAAGCAGATTTACCTCAGTCGTGCCAAACAACTGGTACAAGCCTACGAAAAGTCGAACTTTGACGAAGTGACAGAGAGTGATGTATCCAACTTGATTAAACATTTGCCATCTGCGTCTCCTGTCCCAGATGGAATCACAGTACCCATGATTAAAATTCTGTTCAATTCATTGCCTAGTGACGTCGCCAATGTTATAAACTACTCCTTAAAAAAACTCATGGGTGCCGCAGGACTGGGGGATAGCAAAGGTCATTCCCATACAAAAAAATTCTGGTGTAGGATTACCAGTCGATAATATCAGACCCATATTTCTAACATCTAACATGGTCAAACTAGTAGAGATGATCCTACATAGCCGAGTAAGTATCTGGATGGCAGATAATTTAGCACTCTAAGCCAAAAATGGCCGAAATGGGAGCAACGGCTGTTTTTACTCCTTCAGACCGACTGTTACTCTCAGAAAAGACCAAGCGGAACAAGATGGCCGACTTGTTCGAGAATGGGGGAGCAACTGTATTCATCTTAAGTTTGTAAGGGAGCAACGGAAGGAGGAACCGCTGTAAATGCTCTCGTCACGCAACGGTTACTCCCCGGCAGGACACCGCACACAAATATGCATGCCGCCCACATTGATATTCATGGGCCAGATTATTGTTTGTTCTGTGTGCCAAACTTCACCAAACCAAAACAGTGATTTATTTTAGCATCCGTAGATAATAAGATAGCAGCGCTGGCTGAACACAGAAGGCCTGAGAATACAGTACGGCAAATACCTAACACACGCAGCAGCAGAATGGAGAGTTGGCACGTCAAAGCGGACCGAACGCCGAAACACGTGCAAAACAACAATAAAAATAGCCTAGACACGCCGTTCGTCCGCGAAGTAAGGGCGTCAAAGTCGATCAAGCACCGAAACACGTGCATAAGGAGCCCCCCCCCCCTCCCCCCCCGCCCAGATATATCGGAGAAAAAAAAAAAAAAAGCGGACCCAGACGCGCTTCTCATCAGCCATACACTTAGTAGCACGCTTCACCGTGTAGTTTGAGGGCAGAATGACAAATCTGCGCCATCTGCGCCCGCACGACAAATGTGGCGCTAGCGTAGCAAACGATGTAAGTTACAAAGTAATTTTATTCAGTGTTTATGTTGACTAGCACTGAATAAAAATTATACTCAACTTTTTATGTTTATTTATGTGTTTTAGTGTACCTCAGTTTTTTTTTATAATTGTATTAGGAGAACACACTGAAATCATTGCGCTGACGCCTGTGCTGCCACTGCTCGACGTTTTTTTTTTCGGCGCAACTAGGTTCGCGTTCGCACTACTCATATTCATTTGGTCTGTAGTCGGCGAGCACATGGACGTGCGGGCTTGTGAGCTATGTTTTGATCGTGTGTGTGTGTCGCAGATTTGCGTTTCTACTTATTCGTGATGAAGGTTAGTGTATATTTATCTTTATGGAGCGCGAAGTAGTTGTGGATTTTGCTGCCGGGTGGAACAAACACATCGTAAACACGTCTTCAGCTATCTGCAAGCCTGTTCGCTCGTCGGACAAAGGACTGTGCATGCATCAGCGTGCAGGTGAGTGGCATTTCCAGCAAGATTTAATGCTCTTACAATACATTGTTGAGTGGTTGCGCTATTGAAAGAGAAATGATTGCTCTTATTCGCCGTATCCATTGCTTGCCGTATCGGACTAAATTACCTCTATTACCGCCTGCATACCCTCTTGCTTCCCCTGTCACCACTGCAGTGCCAGTGTACTTTTGCAGTTAAAAGTTCATTTCCGCAACACTACCTCGCTTGAAAAAACATTGGGGCGGGGTTGTAGCTGCATTCATACTGGCACTTTTCTACCATTGGCTTTATGTAATGTTAACGGCTGAGTGTTGGGGCCTTGGGCCGCATTTTTTAGAGCTGTAAAGTGTATGTAAATCAGTAAGTGAACAAATCATTGTCGCATCACTTCACTGGCATAGCCAGGCGGTTGCGCACAGAATTTTTTTAGGCCGGGCGTAGGGAGCCCAAATTGACGACCATATACGCTTGCCCGGCCTATTCAGATAAGCGGACCCCCCCCCCCCCCCCCCCCCGCACGCCTAAAAAAAAAAAAAAAAAAAAAAAATCTGCCCACATCACTGCGTCACTTGCTTCACCTCTGCGCTGAACGTACTATTTTATAAGCGCACCATCAAGCGAGCAGTTTACATATTGACAGAACAATTGGAGGAGGAATGACCCAAATCTTTCAGATTTCTTTAGAGATGCAAAACCTTAGCAAAACTGAATATTGTAAAAGACAATCATAAATGCTGTATGTTCTCGTTAGCGTTGTCATTATTCTGCATCATGAAATCTTTATGCGCTGTGAAAACTTGGCATGCCGTTGAAGTCACATATCGACGTTAATACCAATCGACGAAAATTTCGACAACCTCAATAACACCGTTTGGGATTTGCCGCATGCACATAATTAGGCTGATTCCCACTTGGCTGTTCTTAACCTGACTTCACTGCTACCAAATGAAACAATATTTGATGCATGTCTTTTACTTTTTTTTCAGGGATATGACACAAATTTGGTTATACTGCAGATACTCCCAACGATGCTAAAGTACAGAAAGCAAGTGAATTTTGGTAAGTGCAGACTTTTTGTACTACGTATATGAAAGCATCGCTTTTTAGGGGCAAACTGTGCATGTGTTGGCCAGAGATAGGTTCATCATGCCACATGGTTACACTGGCACTGACAATTCGACATGGCTCCGCTGGCCCGTGTGTGTGCTCACACTGTTACCGTTAAGATAAAATGTTTATGTTTTCATTGCAGGGACTGCTGTTTGTACTAAAAAGCCAACTGCCAAGATTTGTTTACGCTGGTACTCCTAAAAGTATGCTTTCCCTATTTACATGGATTTTGGCTTGCACAAAGCATAACACTTGGGCCTAGATTCACAAAGCTGTCCATGCGCAGGCCTTCATAACAGCGTTTCTTGACTTGCCTTTACCCTGTTTTCTGCAGATGTTTCGAGGGTTTAAAAGTGCCACAGCATGTTGACCTCCCCCACTCTGAAATATTCGCGTTCAAAGTTCCGCAAGAGTGGGCTTAACTTTCTTGTGCACCTCTTTGCTAGTCCAAGATACTGAAGTGTTATGCTCTTACTAGAGGTGGCAGTGTTTCTAATGTTTGTATTTCCATCACATTCACCAAGTATGCGATCTTAGCTTGACTGGTAGCACATCCTCAACAAATGTCTTTGTGGCACATGTAGAAGGCAGTACAAAATAAATAGGCAGACATTCACACCGGGAGCTAACTTCTAATAATGCTTTTTTTTTGGAAACCACGGTGTGCTTATTCCAATTTGTCTAACAAGCAGTAACCTGTTTGGCTGTGAACCAACAAGACGTTGAACTAATAGAAGCATCACATCTTGTTGCTCTCAAATATATATGTATTGGCAACCTATCTGTGACACTGTCAAACAAAGAATCAGAATATCTGTGCATGCCTTAAGATATATTGCTTCCTCGACAACCGAGTGAACAAATGCACCCTAGTTTACTAAATTTAAAGCATTTTTTCAAGGTAGCACGGTCTACATTTTTTTGTCTATAGTTTTGTCCAGCCGTTGCGTCAGGTACAAAGAAATATACTGAAGATTATCATGTAGCCTCTGCAAATGGTTGCTTTCAAGCAGGCTTTGCCTGCTTGGCTTGTGCCTACAGGTATTGCACAATTCAAGACGCAGCAGCGTATGATAGAACAGTAGAATCGAGAGCATCTATGTGCACGAGCTAAATAAGTATTTTAACATGAGCGGACAGTACGTGTTATTTGCCACACACATGACCACACTTAGAATGCCCATTGGTGAATGGGCTCATAGAAATGTCACTCAGCTGTGTATAGGAAACAAGTTAGCTGAACCTAAGGGTATCTTTAACTGCTACAAATATGCCTTGTTGAGGTGCTGCACATTTTCTTCCAGAATATTGCTGTCTGAGACATCATGTGAAGAGCGTCTATCACATCAGCATTTATATGGCTTGCCAAGTAACGTTTGGCCGAACCTTCCTTTTTTTCACATTTCGTTTTGCAGTAGACATCCTAGAATGTAAGCACTGCTGCAGTGTGTGTGACTCATTGTTATGAATTGATTCTGGCATGTTTAACCTCACACTTCTATTTTTTTTCTTGCAGCAATGAGATGCTTCACATATGCCTGCGGTGACGTTCCGCTGCGCTAGCCTGATGGAAACACCAGCTGCGAAACTTGAGTTCTTCAGAATTGGAGAAGTTGCCCTTCTCTCACCAATGATGACACAGACTGCCCTATGCTAGAAATTCAAGATTGTTTTTCCACGGATGACGCAGAAAACCTTTGATGTATTGTGTTTGTTTAGTGCTGGCTGTGGTGTGGCGAAGTCTACTTTTAGACGTCGCCTCATAAAAAGAACAATAAAGCATTTATTTTCCTTTCAATATTGTCCACTTTTTGTGTTAGAAGCACCCAAGCAGTGCTCTTCCAAGGAGCTCTCGCCATGTGTTAAGCGTGTGACAAGCATACTCGAGATAAATACTCATTTCCCCAAGGAGTAACTGGAAGCATGTGCAGTTGGTTTTCAGAGAGTAACTGCGAACACGTGGGAGGAACGGTAAAGAGTAACTGTTGCTCTTAGAAGAGCAACTGGTGGGAGTAATGGTTGGTCGGCAGGGAGCAACTGGTGGGAGTAACTGTTGGTCTGCAGGGAGGAACTGGAGGGAGTAACTGTTCATCCCCCGAAGGAGGAACTGAAAGGAGAGCAACGGTTCCTCCCTCTGCAGTTACTCCTTTTAGGAGAGTAATGGGAGTGGCAATGCAATTGCTCCCTGAAAGGAGCAACCCCTATACCCCTGTTGCTCCGTTTTGGCTTAGAGTGAGTAATAAAACCGGACCAAATCGGCTTTCGTAGTGATTTCTCTATTTGGTGTGCCCATGCTGATTTAGAGAGCCGAATACAGCTCGCTCGAAAAAGAAGGCAATATGTTGCTTTAGTAACGCTTGGCATAGCCAAGGCGTATGACAGTGTGGAGCACTTCATATTGTTAAATACGCTAAAGAGATTGAATTTCCCACAATATTTTATTGAGTGAGTGGCAGAATTTTTAAAATCAAGAGAATTCTACTGCGTCAAGGATGCATGTTCCTCATCTATAGATTTAAACAAACGCGCGGAGTTCCCCAAGGAGCAGTTTTATCTCCAGTGTTATTTATTGCTTTAATGAGCACGATTCCAACACCCCAAGAAGTTATTGTCTACATTTATGCTGATGACATCGCATTCTTTGATGCTGGCTGTGATATTTACTCAATACAGCTTAAATTAAAAATATTTATTAACATGTTAGAAACTTGGTTGCAGTCGATTTCATTATCAATACATGTTAACAAAAGTGCGCTCTTGGTGTTTCCGCTTGCAGACTCAATTTCAATTTCAATCCTATACAAACAGGAACCCATCCAGCAAGTACACTCTATAAAATATTTGAGAAGCATTAATTATGACAAACTTAACTGGAGTTTACACATAGAGTATATATTTACCAAGGCAGGCTTACTGCACAAGCTATGTAACTGGAAATGTGGATTACAGAGGCACACTTTGATAATGTTGTACAAGATGTACATGCGCCCCATCATGAAATTTGGATGCATACTATTCTCGGGTGGCCCTGCTTATAAAACAAAACCTCTAGTTGTCTTGGAGCGAGAAGCACTGCGAATGTGTCTGGGACTCCATAGGTTTGTGGCTATCAATGTACTGTACCAGGAAGCGCGCCTGCCTACACTACTTTGTCGATTTCGCAATTCGACAGTACAAGCATTTTAAAAATTTGATAGCTTACCGGCAAGAAGATCTCAATAAGTTTTTATCGCAAAACCAGACGCCTTCTTTTTTGCTCATTGCCCATGGTTTCACACACCCCAGATAATGTTTGTACAAAATAATCTAAATAGTATAAATGTGAACATTAGAAATGTAATTGAGACTAATGACTCGAATTGTAATGTTATAATTGAATATGATGATATTTTCCCCCAAAACGCCAAGTTACAATGACTCAAATTGTTAAATAACATATAATTAGATTACTTGGAGCATACAGAAACTAAAAATATAATAGCCACAGATGCTTCGGTAAATAATCAAAAGGCATGTGTAGGCATTGCCTCTGATTCGCTTTACTGGTCCTTCTCAGTGAGACTGCTTGATTTTACTTTAGTTTTTGAAGCTGACCTCGTGGCGAATATATTAGCTCTTCAAAAACTTAGGTCAACTCGAAACAACACAGTCATAATGACGTCATAATCTTTCAGTTTGTGCAGCTCTGACAGCTTCGTAAAACTCGAAAATTCTAAGGGCATTCAGAACATTACTACCACCGCAGTTGAGGCTCCTGAGGTTACTATGGATTCCGGGACACTGCGGATTAAGATTAAATGAACTGGCCGATTCCTTAGCACGAGCCGCACTTGATGGCGCAATTTTATCCATTCTGCCAGATGTTGAATATATTACAGCAATAAGATATCGAAAATCAGCAATCTGCGCTGATATTATAGAAAAAGTAACTACATGGGCAAAATATAACCACCTCAAGTTTCCATGGCGACCCCACTGGAGCCAGTCCAGAAAGCTCGAAGTTTTATTACTAAATTCCCCCCCCCCCCCCCCTGAACCTGTAACTACACAGATCTCGTCAGACAATATCACCCTCTGCGCATTCTGCGTAGAAACGGAATCAATAGAACATTATTTTTTGGATTGTCGCCGATATCCTATACTTAGAAAAAGGCTTCTATAGTTATTGCATTTCTGAAAATAGGCATTACATTGACGGTGAAAACTGCACTAAGCTTTGGTGCCTCAGTTTTCGGACATTGCCACAAGGATGCTTTCAATGCCGTTTGCAATTATATTCATGTATCCAAACGTATACGTTTGTGATCTTCAATCAAATAAATATTATTTATTACCCCCCCCCGAAATTCTAAATGGTAGACTTTTCTATTTTTTTTTTCGTTTGCTCTCTTTTTATGTGGTTTTCCTTACATTAGTCATATTATAATACAAATTCATTACACATAGTTATGATTCTCACTGCGAAAATTCACTACGCTTCCTTGGCCAATCCCCCTGAGTGGGTGTGAGCCATGAGTCCAGGGAAACAAACAAACAAACTGCAGCCCGGTTGGGAGCATGGCGCAGCGCATATACCGTGAGCTGCATTCCGACGCAGCTTTCCGAAGACGTTTAAGAGGAGCGTAAACACTCATCCCTACAAGCCCGGTTTCGGGCCTGACACAACTAGTGCCTCATCGAACAAATCTCTCTCAAAACACAGCATGCTTCACAGCTCCCCACTTTTTTGCGTTCCTGGACATTTTGAAAGCACTGCGCCTTGTGTTGCACAAAACCTATGCTTCGTTATTAATCGAATACCAACTCAAAGGTGTGTGCCGGGGGGGGGGGGGAGCATTTAACCTAACTTATGTATGTTCGCGCGTGCGTTTGTATGCGTGTGTGTATATATCATTCAAGATTGAAAACTTACTGACGGGAAGGGCAGGGGGTGGGGCTGATCCCCCTCCAACGTACCCCTTGGAATCACCACTGATAACGAGTACCTATTGCTATGTTCCCACTGTGAACGACTGAACGCACACTTTTTCCGCGCTATTATCAGATAACTCAGATTATCTGTAGCCTTCATGGGCATCCTGTTTACCGTGTTCCTGCCATGGCCACTGTCTGTACAATAAATATCCAAGGCGCTCTGAGATACACTAACAAATGTGTATGACAAACGTACCCAAGATTGGCAGCAGGTACATAATGGATCGGGGTACATCTCCCGGGCACAGCTGTTTCTGTCCTAATGCCAGAAAGGGCTTCAAGGAAACCAGCGAATTGGAGCTCTCAGCACACATAACGTCAGCCACATCCGTGATCTACACAAAGCAAGGAAATAAGTGTTCATTTAAGGGCTCCTTTCTTTGTCGCACACAATATTAATGAGAACTAACACTGTGATGCCACACTCACCGCTATGACAAGAGGCAGCGCTGACTGACGCTCCGAGCGTTTAAATGCGCATATATGACCTATTAAGTGGACGGAGGGATGATGGCCTCCGTACCTCAGTGGTAGAGCATCGGACACGTTGCTTGAAGGTAGCAGGTTCGGATCCCGCCAGTGGCAAGGAATCTTTTCGTCTACTTTCCTTTCTTCCCATTTACACTACAATTACGTCTAATAACACCCCCTATACTTCCCTTGTCGTTAATATCTGTTAGTTCTCATTACTACAGGAAGCAAGCGTGACAGTGAATCAACAATGTTTGTATAAAAAACATGAAATATTACAACATGGATAAAAACCGCGCCATAATTAATTAATGCTTGCCCACATTTTTAAATACAAAAAGCTCGTTTCGGTGAGTAAAGCTGAGAGACTCACCACGTGGCTGTGGCTTTCAATCCACTGTCTGAAAGGGTAGTCGGCGCACTCGCACGAGAAAGGGTTGGCGGAAAGACGCAACGACGTCAGTTTGTGCTTGGTTACTAGGTCGTACGGGAACCGCTTCATATAGTTGCTACTCAAGTCAAGGGAGCGCACATTTTCGGGCAAGTTGGTCACATTGAGGCTTGTCAGGAAGTTTTTTCTGAGGGAGAGAACCTTCAGGCGCGGCGCACCGTTAACCAGAGCATCGCCGAGCTCTTCGATGCGGTTTTCGCCTAGTTCCAACTCGGCAGTGCCCTCTGGAAAGACCTGCGGCGCGCCGTTTAGTGCCGCTGATGTGCAGTTGACGGCGATGGCTCGGTCGCCGAGGGAGTCTTCTCGGCAGTCGCACCGACAGCCAAGCTCGCAGTCCTTTTCCCATCGGGTCAGGTCGTCGCTCGTGAGCGCGTTCAACAGTCTTCCTTGCAGCCATTGCGGCCCCACGCATGTCGGATAGTTTCCCGCCCACACTGCACCGCCCGGGCGTGTAAGCCAAGACATCCTGCAGTCACACAGTAGAGGGTTCTCTAGAAGTACAAAAAAAGGCCACAATATCTTGCATCATAAACATTCCACCGTTTATTACCGCATCTTTTCTACATGCCTGCCAGTAACATCACCAATAATGGGCGTTCTTCAGCATGATTATGGCCGTACAATTCTGAAATAAACTCTTTTAAAATATTAGTAAAAAATAAGTGGTGACCAACGGCAGATATCACTGCCAGTTAGGAACATTTTAATAGCTGTTTATCATCTCTAAGATTTACAGGTCCAGTCAACGTACGTAAGTAATGCCCAGTGCACCATGTTCTCATTAGAGCGATGCGTTTTATGTTCATGCCACGTTATGAAGGTTCCTTCGTTATATTGAACACGTTTTTACAACCTCGTTGCGCCTACGCACGAATACAATATGTTAGAAAACGTTATGGCCATAGCTGTAGTTTTCTTATTGTTTATTTTTTCATAAATACCCACGTTCATACCGGCACAAAGTGGGATCCCCAAAACTTTGGCCGCATTTATTTTCACGTGAAGTAAACATACGCCTGACTATAGGCTGTCTGTTACACTGTGTGATACGTCCTTTTCTCGCCTAGGCTGCGGCGGCTGCATTTCCGATGGAGGCGGAAATGTTGTAGGCCCGTGTGCTCAGATTTGGGCGCACGTTAAAGAACCCCAGGTAGTCGAAATTTCCGGAGCTTTCCACTACGGCGTCTCTCATAATCATATGGTGGTTTTGGGACGTTAAACCCCACAAATCAATCAATCAATCAATCAATCAATCAACCTTTTCTCGCCTATACTTTTTCACAGTCCGCTTAGTGCTATGGAGAATGTGTACTCAGGGCTCCCTCTCTTATTGATATCATTTTATCACTGTTATTCGTTCATTAGGAAAACTTTATTTGTGTCCTAAAGCCCGGTCTTTTGAGACCGAGGCGGGCCGCGTCCACGTCGGTACCGTCCGGCCGAGCCTTGTGGCGTAATCGTGGACCTTCTGGACTGCCCGTAGTTGGTCTTGATAAGACGCGCTTCGCACCATCGTCTGCCAGTAAAGCCATTGTTCTTCGGGGTCGGTGAGAGTCGTGGGACAGCCCGCCAGCATGTGTCCGACCCCAATGATGCCATCGCACGCGTCATACTTGTCTTGAATTTCACTGTGAGGGAGAATTCTATGTAGAAAATACGGAGTTGGGTAAGTTCCGGTTTGCAGTAAACGTAGCGTGACTGCCTGAGCCCTGTTCAATTTTGCGTGTGGCAGTAGGAATTGCCTACGCCCCAAGAAATAATGTTTTGTGATGTCGTAAGTGATTAAATTATCTTTATAGCCCCCGGAATGGTAGTGGGCGTTGGATCGGGTCTGACTGTTATGTGCCATTGCTTAAAGAAGTATAATAAAAAGGTGCTTGTGAATTTGGTATTTTTTTAAATCTTTGCTTTGATATGCTTTCTAATTCAAGCAGTTAAATTTTTGCGAAAAGGCTGATTGCAGCTCACTTTTTATGATAATTAGTAAGCTCAGAGACTTTTGCAGACCGTAAAACAGTGCCATAATAGACAATTACCACAACCTATAAGTAAGTAACTGTCGCCAACGATATTAATAAAATATGCAAAGATTTACAACATATGTGACACACAGTAGCAAGCGGTACTTGGCGAGAACGACAACCTTTCTTCCAACACTACATCCGTGGAAAAGAACGTCGATTTAGAAGATTATTGAGCGAAGCTGCTTCGTCTGCTAACCGGAAGTGTGGAACTGACATGATCGCGTGGATAGAACAGCGTCAGTAGCGTACATTCTCGAGTGCTTGGATATGCAGTATCTGCATCTGTGCTGTGAGACTCCGGCATACTCCCTATAAGCCAAGATAAGCGTTTTGCAAAACCTGTACTTTGTTATATTAACTTATTAGATCCAGTCACATGTTTGCCCAACTAGACGAAATAAATGACATCTTTCACGGCGCTGCTTGGTTTTGTAATTGTGCCAGAGGGGCATCACGCGCAAATTCACATTCTAGGCAGCGATCTGTACCTCATGTGAGACGAAATCGGAGCCACGCTCTGGAACACTGTGACGTATTCATAAACCAAGTCAATATTTGACCGGCGCCAACAAATAAAAATTTGCCGGCTATATCTCTTCGTGAGCACCGATCCTTTAGATGAGTTGTATACATGACTGGCACGATAACACTCTATACCGAAATCCCGAGGTACTTTGTCCCTTGGTAATGATAGGCACCATGCCACACAGACATTGCAGAAGAGCACTCTAGAACAATAGCCTACCGTCAAGGATGATCGTCAACTTCTTCTTGAGCACTTTGGCGAAGTCACTGCGACGCAGCAGCTCCACTTGGTTTCGCCTTAGGTAGAGCCCAACTAAGTTTTGGGCTCCTGCGAAAGCCCCTCGCACATAGCTGATATTGTTCGCAGTTAGTTGAATGGAAGCCAGACGGCCATCGTTGGCGAATTCGCCATTTTCCAGGTACTGGATTGCATTATCGGATGCGTCAATGTAACGTAGCTTCGGCAAGTTTCTCGCAGAACCGTTCAGCGCCAGAAGCAAGTTGTCTTGCAGCAGCAACTTGTCAAGGGTCACGAGTCCTCTGAAGGCGTTCTTTCCTACCCATTGGATCTTGTTATCACTCAAGTTCAGTTCATCTAAGCCAATGCTGTCACGAAATGTGCCATCAGGAATGTAAGTCACCAGGTTGCTCCTGAGCGAAAGCTTTCTTAGTAGTGTTAGACCCTTGAAAGCGTCGGTGATGTCCTTGATGCGGTTGGATGATAACTTCAAGACCTTCAGGCGGCGTGTCCTGTCGAACACTCCTGTCACGCTAGTCAACTTGTTTTCGGATAATCCAAGGTATTCGAGCATTGAAACTGTATTAAACACCAACCCGTTCAAGTGGGTTATGTTGTTGCAGCTCAGGTCAAGAGAGGTCATTTGTTCCAAAGCAGCGAATGCGCCGACTTCCACTTGGGTTATTTCATTATTGTTCAATAAGAGTTCTTGGATCATGGTGTTCGACGGTGCAAATTCACTTATAATGTGAATTCTATTATGCTCTAAATTAAGAGTACTTAGGTAAGGCATTTTCGCTTTCAATAATCTGTCGACATCTCTGATCTCATTGTAGCTCAAATCGAGAACCTGAAAGCGAAAAAAAAAGTGCATACATGTAACGCTTGCGTCACAACTGGAACGCCAGCAAGAAACAGTACACAACACCCGTTTTTCTCACCGGGTCAGCTCATTGCAACAAGAGTGCTATCAAAGTTTGCTGTGTTAAGGTAAAACGGAGAACGTCGAGAGATCAGAAAATAAAGGTAAACGTTACGCTCGGAAAATCTCCGTTATACTACGATGTCGTCTGAAAGATGTTTCAGCAGCATATTTCTTTGAAGGCACGTTACTTGTTTCAGATTACTTTTGGGGCTTCAAAAAACGTCGTTAAGGGCCCCTTAAGGGCCTTTTTTATAATGGCGTAGACGTTAACATTGTTTCCGGTAGTTAGGCAGCGTTATAAACAAAATTTACCCGATTGGAGTGTGGACCCCTGAAACAGAAATTGCCAACTCGATCTTGATACTGCGCGAAACGACACACGGCCACGTGGAGGTATATTAGGATCCCAGCCAGCGCTATCAGCAATATGTTTTTTTTTTTTTCAAAACCAGGAAGCTTATATACTACAACCGAAAGCAAGCAGTTGAACACGCCCAAACACCCGGATACATGCGCGAAGAAAATCCACCAACGAATTCTCGTGCGAAGATAACATCTTGAGTCACTGCTTAACTAAGCAAGAAACTCAGTTACTGATTACGCAAGGAAAGCAAGCCAACCTAACGGTCATTGCCACATAGCGGCAGGAACGAGAAGCACGGCCGCAACCTTCTGCTTTCGCATTATCTGTCGCATCATGCCAAGGAGGTGGCTTTCCACGATAACATGAAGGTGGTCTTTTCACAGCCTGATAAACTCAGAAAGCTGCGTCTTGGTAAATCCTTCTCGGGCGGGAAAGGCGGAGCGAAAGCAAAAAAAAATTACTAAAATACGTTTATTGACAGCAACGCATTTCTCGCTTATCGCGTTCCGCTCTAACGTGGGAAACAATATCAGCCCAAAGTAGCAGGTGTGTAAACGAGCTACGTAGAAAACCATTACAAGTCAAATAAGCTGCCGCCTGATTGGTTTCTCACCCTCGCCGTCCATGCTTGTGGTTTCTTATCTTTGTTTCACAACACTGTCATTGCTGCGTGGTATAAAAAGTCACTCGACTGATTGTTGAAGCCGAACATATCGACGCACTTTGTGATTTCTGCTCTTGCAAGAAATCGATAGCATTGTCGCCTAAGAAGTTGGCTTTCTTGCGTAAGCATGTGACGCGCAACGCCGCTATAAGCTTCGCCATGAATTCGCTTTGATAGAACGATTTTTTTTTCTGTCATGTCTCCGAGTGATTCCACGTGTTTAACTGTCTGCCTGCCGATTGTAGCATAAAAGTGGTCTGGTTTTGAAAATAAACATAACTTTAGTTTTGCTGCGTTCTGTCACGCGAATTCTCGAGTCCATGTGCTCTTTCGCGACTTACTGAAGTTGCACAGATTATTCTCCACCAAGTTCTCACAGCTAGTGTATAGTCGAGGTGTTCACGCTGTTTTATTGTCCTGTATACTTGGGCACTTGTGACCAATTATTGGGGGCCAACGTTGTCGGGACGATATTTTAATTTGGTTTAAAATTAAACGTGGGGTCACATCTGATTTTTTCGCCACAGTGGTAGGGCGTGAATAGATGCCACTCTGTGACGTTGGGTAAAGCGAGTATAGTCGGCAACACAGACAAGTTAAATGGGCTATTGTTCCTCGACCGCCCTCGTCGTTCTGTTATTGGGATGCTCTCGGGGTGGTTCTGGCTGCTTACGACAGTGGTGTTTTTTGTACTATAACACGAAATCTATTTCCTTTTTTTTGTGTGTGTCAGACGGCACACTCTCCTAGGTCCAGCGAGTGCTTGCAAGTTGGGGGTTTCACCTGTTGTATCATTGTAGAGAAAAATTTCTGCGGGAAATCGTGCTAGTGCGTCACACGTACGCAAACTTATACCACTGCACCCACGTAATTTCCATTATTTCCCGCACGCTGGGCCCAGGTTCAAAATGTTTGGTCTCAACGTCTATGTATAGTTTGATCGCACGTGATCTTACGGTGATTCACCACGGTGGGGCGCTAGTTTGACGCGGCCGCTTTAAGGTGACGCCAATATAGGTACCAATTGACTCTATAGCATATTATACGATACATTATATCACGTTCTATTCCATTCGGGGATTATCAGACACAAAGCCAGTATATCGAATGTAGAAGTCACACACGCAAAAACAAGTGTTTTTCTCAGGGGTCTACAAGTAAAATAAAATGTTGGGCGGGTTGGTGTTGGTTCATGATAATTTAAGGTGGCGCGAAATATACAGCACACAAGAGAAATCCCGTGTCCTCCTTTTTCGCGCCACCCTAAGTTATGATGGTTCTATAAAGTTTTAATTAACGCATGGTACGTCTGGACAGGATGTTGCCTCTCGGGCTGTATTTCTTTTTCCCACAAAGCTCGCGATCTAGCTATTTAACGAAAATACACGAGCGTTCTTAAAAAAACCGTATCAGTAGTATTCGACAACATCAGTCACTCTGTGAACGTTTTCAAACTCTCCTATAGAACGTACGTTCTTTATGTTAAAGCACTGCAACACTTAACAGCTCTTCAATGTTCTTTCACATTTCGTCGTCACTTTTAAATACTCGCTGATGTAAATAGCTGAAAAACGCACACTTCTATGTGGGCTTTTAAGGCATCTAACAATACGTATAAAAATAAATAAATCTTTTGAACCAACCACCTCTCGTATGTCACACTTTGATGAACAACAAGAATAAGGAAGGAGAAATCAACGCTCACCTCTATGTAAGGCATATCATTGAACACATCGCCAACCTCTGCAATGTAGTTGTTGCGAAACTCAGCTTTTTTCAGCTTTCTCGTATTCTTCAGCAGAGCAGCTGGCAGCTGTCGTATTCTGTTGCCAGAAAGCCGCAAGTGTCTCAGATTCAGCAAAGCTGACAAATACGTCTCATCGATCTTTTCTATTGCGTTGAAGCGAAGGTCCAACTCGAACAGATCGGGCAAAGGCAGCGCGCCTTGCAGGAATCTGATGCGGTTCCTGCGCGCCTCTAGCCATCGCAAATGCTTCGCCGCGGTCAAACCTCGAGGCAGGACTTCCAGCTGGTCGTTTTCGAGAAGCATCCGTGACATTCGGCCCAATGCGCGGATGGCTTCTTCGCCGATGTCGCGTAGAGGACTGTTGACGATGATCAGCATGACGATGGTATGGTTTGTGAACCATCTGGCCGGCAGCTCGGTCATTTGGACGTGGTCGAAGGTCAGCTTTCTATGAATGACGCCCTCGATCCTGGCCATGTCTGCGTCGAGTTGTTGCGGTTGAGAGATGTTCCTGCAGCGAGTCAGAGCACCCTGATTGACGACGGAACATTCGCAGCGCTCCAGTTTCGGGCACGTAGCGTTCACGTTGCGCCACGACGTACGACCCTCAGCTGACGAGCGGAACAAGCACGGCACTAACACAAGGCACGCGATTAAGCACATTCGACGCGGCATTCGTGTCACCGATGGCAGCAACATCTTAGCATCTGTATACACTGTTTTCACGAAGTTTACACTGCGTCTCCGCAGAGTAAGCCTCATAGCACACGTCTGCGGCACCAAACACGCGACTGCACTGGCAGCTTACGGCGGGCGGAGCATCGACGGTGATAACGCTTATTTTTCTTCGTTAACTGACGAAGATAGACGGCCGTGACGTGGAACAAAAAAAAAGAAGAGCAGTAGCGACGCATCCCGATTACATAGTGTTTCCCGCGAGGATAGCAATCGTCGGAGGCCGCAGAACAGAAGAAAATGTATACATATAAAATATTAACAGTTGGACAATATAACAGCAAGTAAGCCATATAGTTGACTTATAGAAAGACTGAATTTACGAATTTCACCACTACATCTACTACTTCAGTGACTACTTTCTTTTTCCCGATTTATTATTATTATTTTTTACGCACGCTTGCGCGAATCGGTTTGAGGGGGGGGGGTGGCAACACCTCGGCAGAGTGGTGGCTGTGTCGTCAGACCGACATATCCCCCGAAAAAGTAGGTGCACTGCTCCAGTGAAACAGCTGTTATTTTTCAGCTTATGTTTCTGTTTGGCTTCCGCGCCCGGTAGAACATAACGACGAAAATTTGACGTCAGTAGAGATAAAGCCGAAACGCCAACCTACGAAGCAAGACTTGCCCACAGGGCTTCCGTGCTCCTCTTCCTGCGCGAAGAGTTCAAGAAAGTCGTCTGGATCGTAAAGGAAATTGATCCGGTACGTTTGCGCACGTGTTCGAAGGAAAGCCGTGATGACGCTGGCGGCAGTCTACCGGCATTCATGTCGTCTAAACGAGCTTGCATGAGTGGCAGCCTTATACTTCAAAAACCAACACTAGAAGCATTACGCTTAGAACTGCTTTATCGCTCAAATATCTCAAGAATATCGCATTTTTAGTCGGTGTCATTCGGGGCTATGGCAGTCCGGACGAGCCAGGTCAACACGCTACCAATTTACACTGAACTTCTGAACCGAAAAAAAACAATATTGTTATGCGAAATTTCGGTTGAGTAAAAAAAAATGTAGTCGCACGTTTCGATGCTTCCTTTAATGTCATTTTCAAAACTGATGGCGACATTTCTGACAGAACCTGCACCATGGTTTTACAAAAAGTTTCCCATGACTACTTTAGCCCTGAAAAGAAGTAAATTTGTGCTACCCTCCGAGAAATTTAATGTTCACATCAGCATGTTGCACAGTGATATCGGCAGCATTAGGTAAAAGCTGCTGCATGCATAATGAAGTTCCCTGATCTTCCGTATTCCATGTCGGTAAAGAGCTTCACAAACATCTCAACTTGGCAGAACTTTTACAAAAGAGAATACAATGTCGAGTGTAATGCATTCAGCACAACGCAACAGATACAAAAATTTCGTGCGAAAAACATTGAATTTTCCATTACCTTAAGCCTAGTCACCATTAGTAGAGTAGTTGGGATAGTTAGGATAACAACCGAATACGCGAGCGAAATTAAGATTGCGTGATCCTTAGCGTGTCAATGCCATGAAATCAATGGTAACAGAATGAACTGAGCTGTATGAGAACTTGCTAGCCATAACTTAGTTCGCGAATGTGGTAAATAGTCCTTAATGTGTGATAACGGGTAATATAGTGAGCTCCTTTTCATTTCAAGCTGGCTGTCTCATTTAACAAATATATTTGCAGCTCAAGTATCAGTGGAGCAATCTTTAGATTACAAAAAAGGGTAATAACGACTGTCATTTTGAGGTAAATATTTTGAAACTAAAATTTCATGCTTCGGTCAAGTCATGCTGTTTGGCTGTACCTCTGCTCATTCTGTTCATAATTAAACTTTGATTTCTTAGAATGTTCGTGCTTTTTGCAGAAATAAATATGCATTTTGTTTCGCTTAATACACTTTTACATTTTTGTGGACAGTATGAACAAGTTTCGAAGAAACTTATTGGCGCATTAGATTAAGCGGGTGTAGAATGATGACGAAAAACTGCAGTTGTATATTATGAACTCGCCTAAGACGTCTGGCAAAGCAATCTTCTTCTTGCTCTAAGTCGACGTATTGATCCTCCTTCGCCCTACTTCGAAAGCTTTCTGCACCTCACATGGTTTTGTCGTGTAGCCTCCATGATCGGCCTTTTGAGCGATGACGTGTGATGACGTCAAAATTTTAGCTATCTGCGACGTCATCACATAATCATAATTTCATGCATCACCCATGTGGACGCCAACACCGAAGGTTGATTTTCGCGTTTGATAAGGCGTATATGGCTTTATTAAACAGAATGACATCATCTACGTATACATGACCAGTTCAGTTTCCTTATAGATCACAAGAACGTCGTTGATATATAAAAAGCAACAGTCTCGGCAAATCTATTTGTAACATTTCAACTTTTTATTTTGTTTATGACCCCGGGTATCAAGTCAAAGCTTCTTTGTGTAACTTATCATATTTAGCAGGCCAGTAGAAACTCTGCAAATACACCTACTGTCAGAAGGCTTCGCTCACAACTCTGTCACGTATATTTTCGGTCTACGTGCACTATAGCTCCGCGGAAGTATTTTAGAAAATTATACTGAGCCTTCGTGATAACACGATGATTTTCACAAGATGAAAATCTTTGAATCAATAATAATCATTTTTCACTCTTTAAAAAGCACAACAAAACCTGTTTGTGGTTTGCACAAACAGTTGTGTTAAAATTTGAATATTGCCCTTTTTATGCAGTGTAATAAATTTATCAACTTTTATTTCTTGTAAAAAGATGCCTTCATAGATAAAGATACCACCGAATACAAAAATGCTATATAATATATGATACTTATTGGGTCTAAACAGCAGGTCATATGAATCACGACAGCTACAGCTTTAATCGGAATGAATATGGAGCAGAACAATACGGCATCCCTTGGGCGATTAATACAAACAGCATGAGCTTAACAAGAAAATTTTTCGCGGGTAGGAAGGGGGTTTAATTATACTTTATGATCGTGAATGCGTTTGTATGCGTACGTATATATATATATATATATATATATATATATATATATATATAATATATATATATATATATATATATATATATATATATATATATAATAAGGATGTTTTGATTAGGATCGCACTGTAGTTTCGAGAGTTCCCATGCTTCTCCTCCAAGTTAGGTTGTGGTACGGGTAGTCCCTGGCGTTCTTGTACGGCCTCATTCCTATTTTCCTGTTGCAGAGCAGTGGAGCTTCTGCAGTCCCGCTTGAATTTTCTATCTTTTACTACTGAAATTTCGCCTCTCTTTTTTAGTTCATATCTTTCCAGTTCTCTTGCCTCATGCTCTCCGAGATTAGATACCAATTTCTGCATGGCCTCCGTGCAGTGGCGTAACTAGATAGGACGGCGCCCAGGGCAAATATATTTCCGCGCCCCTCATTATGCCCGTGATAATGTTTGTTATTATTATTATTATTATTAATAATAATTATTACTACAGCTCCTATTAATAATATATTATTATTATTAATAATAATAATATTATTATTAATAATAATTATTACTACAGCCCCCCCCCCATTAAAAGCGCTAATGTAGGCTTCCGCGATTGCCTACTGGCGCGCGGCGGGCCATTTCGGAGGCCAAGGGCCACCAGTTCTGATTTCGATGAGCTACGCCCGCGTTTTTGTATAGTATTTTTCTTTTTTTATTCAAACTTCCGGAAGTCCCTTACCCGTCATTGTTCTCTTCCAGTCCACACTGCAAAAATCTTGACGGCACGGGCGCTTCCCAGGCCCAAGTTTCTCGTACCTAAGCTTTCGCGCTATTTGTGCATCCCAAGGAATGCAGGGTGAGTACAAAACAAAGCAACCAGCTAGACACCGCGCCCTCGGGTCTGGTATGGGGGTTAAACTGGTCGGAGTGTTCTGCCGTTTCGCTCCGTTCGCTGTTCCATTGATGGAGGTCATCCTTGTGCGGCCGCATTCTTTCAGGGAAGTTCTTGGTTTCTCCAACGTACGAAGCGGGGCAGTCGGCACATGCTGTCGGGTACACTACGCTCTGCGCTTTTTTCGCAGGTGCGTGTTCTTTGGGCCAAAGGATGAACCTGCCCATGGCGGTGGATGGCATGTGGGAAACGTTGACCCCCGCCCTTCTATTGCTTTGCTGGCGCCCGCGATGCAGGGAATCAACAAACGTCGCCGTCGTGTCACGCTTTCTCCGTCTTTCCTCCAGAGAACTCTGCGAATAAACGCCTTTGTTTAGCCTTTGGTGCCGAGGTCACGGATTATATTCGCCCTTCCTTCCGCCGCTGCGTGGACGATTAGTCGTTGGACGATCGGCTATTTCGTTGGAGTTTTCTGTTCTTACTCAAAAAAGGTGCATTCGAACTTTTTTATTTTATTTTGTTTACGTACGTGGTTGGTTTCAGGGAAGCTTTCAGTAAGTGGTTTGGGAGGCTGGTGGGGTTCGCTGAAACTCATCTAACCCAGTGCTGCGGAGCACAAAACAAAGCTTAGCCGAGGGTCATGGGAAGGCACGGAGGTAGCGCAGCAAAATGAAAATAGAGGATCCTTTTCCCGATGCAAAAGCCATTGCGGCAACCCTTTCCTTCACCACCATCCCCACTTCCAGTCGTACATTACAACCTCGCCCCTCCCCCCTTCCAGGCGGTTTTACGGAAAAAAACATTGACAACCTTTCCAGGGGGCGCCAACCCGAGGACTCGGCTTGGCGCCCCCTCCCTAGTGGCGCCCGGGGCACTTGTACCCCCTTGCCCCCCCCTAGTTACGCCACTGCCTCCGTGACACTGTATTCGGTGGCTTTACGCTCACTATGGTCCGCAATGACCCGAGTCAGTTCCAAAGACACTTCTAGTAATATTTTTTCCCACTTCCCCTTTCAGCTTCACTTAGTGTAGACATTGAGGGGTTGCAGGCTAGGCGGAGGCCCTTAATCTGTCAAATGTCCTCAATCTCTCAAACACAACACTCACACCCGCTCAGCTTCAACTTTTGTCGAGAGGCTTATCTTTTTGTCCATCATCCGGTAGATTCAATGACTTTTAACTGTACCAAGACCTCGATAACTTTGCGCGTAATCTCCGCCTCCGTGTATACTTTCATGATCGCAAGGACTGTACGGACTAGAATAGATTGATTGGTGGTGACAAATCATGGTGTCCAGGTGAGCAGAGGGACAAACACCTCGATATGTACATATCAGCAGTTCAAAAAGATATCATCAGAGCGTATGAAAAAACTCGGCCATTTCGAAACAACATATCAAAGTCAGAACGAAGGGCACTCGATGAACTACGAAAAAACACTGGAATTACTATCAAACCGGCTGATAAAGGGGGCTGCATAGTAATTCTAAACACGTCGGACTACTTGAAGGAAGGGGAACGACAACTATCAGACACAAAATTCTACAAAGAACTTCCAACGGACCCGACTCCCGAATTTGAAAGGGAGATAAAAGTAACCCTAAACAATCTCCGCCGGGGCGAGAAAATTACCGGCAAAATGTTAAAAGCATTGTTACCGGCCCATTCTGTTCCCGGTCGATTCTATTTGCTCCCCAAAATACACAAGGCAGGCAATCCGAGACGTCCGATAGTATCCAGTAACAGCACATCAACAGAAAATATATCAGAATTCATCAATTACTTAATAAAAAAGCATCCCCCCAAATTTTCCCT